TCTCCTTTAAAATCTAAAATATTCTTATAAAGAATCAGATCTCGCGAAACTCATGGCATGGTCTTTATTCATTGTCTTTCATTTTTAGTAACCAGCCCATCTTGTTAAGATACTTAAGTATAATGATGCTGTTCTCATGAGATTTGAAATTGTTTGCGATCGTGTCTTTATGTGCCAATGATTCACGGGATGGGTTTGCAACTAACGAAATTTCAACGTGCTTATTTGGTTGGGGCTTTTCATTGAGTTTGAAACCGGTTTCTTTATTTAGGTTACTACTGAGTTTGACTCTTTAATCATTTGATCCAGTGGTTTTATGGCTTACTCAAACATTTTGCTAAACAACATTTTATATTTAACTCATGCAAATATCCCATTCCATGATTGACTACATGACTCAGACCGGCTCCTATAAAAACGCCTGCCTGGGGCTGGACCGGCACATGAGAGTGTGTGATACCGACTGAGGTGAGATTTTATTTCGTTCAGAACGAAGCCAGAGAAACACGTATGCTGGCGTGGAGGAGGAGAAAAGAAGAACAGGGAAGCAAAAAATCAAGTGACAAGCGACATAAAATATGGTGATTTCAACAGGGCGGTTCAAAATATCCTCAAATTGTCTTCAATTTGAACACACGCAATATTGGTAATGCAGTGCTTGCCCCACTAAAATAGACATGATGGCCAACATCGCCCAAGGAGTTCAGTTAGTATATTTTATATTACGGAGCTAGGTTTTGAACTTTCTTCAACATTTGGTTTCTCTCCATTGTATTTTCTTTCTACTGCAACTCTAAATGTTCAAATCAAATTTTAATAATATCAATTAATTTACTCCTTTGAAAATCATCAAATCTAAATTCTCAAATTCAATACAGTCTCCACCGGTGGACTGAGAAGCCACTTCCCTTTGAGAAGCTGTATGGTAAGTGGTTCCTTGGACTAATAAATAAACACGCTGGTAGAAATCCAATCCTCCAAGAAACACGCTGTCCCTGTTTGCCAGTGTTCTTGTACACCACGGCAGGCATCAGGATCAAGAATTATTTATTCTTCCCAGTAAACCCAAAGTATTTTCATGATAAAAACAAAATAAAACATGACTCCTTGATATTATGAATTTAAGTGCAAGATAATCAGAAGCCTAAAATGACCTTTTTTTGGGCCTGAAATCAATGATGCTATAGAACTTAGTTTTAACGATTTTAATATATTAAGAAAATTAAAGTTGCAACAGATAGAAGCTAAACTTTAAAAAGCATTATGATCAAAATCTTCACTTTATAGTAACAATTTCAAAAGCTGAGCTTTCGCAACTTCTATCCCCTTGGGGTTTCGGGCTGTTTTTGCGTGTAGTTGTCCCCATTCATTTTTTTTTTAAAAAAAAGAATGTTAAAAGTCGCTTATATATTAAAGAAAACTAACAGTGAAACAGTACTACTGTGACATCACTTTTTGTTTTCCGTTCCATGCATCACATAGCTGCTCGCTTATTAAATAGGAGAAAACTTGCAGCTATATATTCATCATTAAGAGATATTTAATACATGGCAAGCGTAAGGGTTACTGAGATAACTACAGCTCAACCCGAAATACATTGGAATTTTTTAACTGAAGAAAAAAACATACAATAAAGACATCAAAAATTGAAACTAATCGCATCTTTGACCAAAAGGCCTAAATTGGAGTTATCAACATCGTGGGAAGGAAGTTGCAAACCATTTAGAGGGCTATTGCCAAGACACATCGATTTGGAAATGCACACCAAGATTAAACAAGACTCAAAAATTACTTGGACTCCACTAAAAAACAAAAAAAAAAAAAAAAAATTACTTGGACTGTTTTTCTTTTCTTGTTCCTTTCTCCCTTCGGAGTTGGGACTACGGAACGTGCAGTTGGGGACCTGGCAGCTCCAAGCCTCCATGAGAGAAGGGTCAAACCCTGAAGGAAGGTCAACACCGCAGCCCACGCTGATGTTACATGAATTGTTGACCTCATGCATGAATTATCTATATGTCAACCAGAGCAAATGCAGGAGTCACCGACGAAACTTCGTAATTAACAAGGCCATCTCATTGTGTTTGGCGGATTGCACTGGTGACAAGAATGCCCACTAATTAACAAGTACAAGCCATAAGGAGGTCACATGTTCGATCCTACGGGACTGGTTTAACCCCCTTCCCAATAAAAAATAAATAAATAAGACCGTCTCATTTGTTCTTCCAACCAATGCATCCAAACGCTTCTCATGCCCCCCTTTTCCTCCAAAACTAATCCTAGAAACACATCCGGACAGCACAAAATTTTGCAAACCAAAGTCACACACTGAAAACTAACACTGCGTCAAGGCACCTCAAGATTGGGGGCAATATATTATTGTAAGATGCTCACAAGTTATATAACTTGAAATTTGCACTCCCAGACCCTTCAGCAGTTAGGTTGGAGAAGTTCGACAGCAACTTAAGGATCAGAGTGCAACGTTTAGCATTCCCAAACGAACTGAACCAGAACCGTCTGATAGGAAGCATTATGTGAACATGCCAGTAATGATTGGCCTTCCACTAAAAAAGAAGTGCATTACACTTGTATAATTTTAATAACCTAGTATTAAAGAAATGAAACAATCATTGCATTGTACAGCATTTTTTGGTGCGATACTCCACAGCACGGCACCATTTCAAAGCTAAAGCTCACATTAGTGGACTCTTGAATCTGCACTGCACTTCATAGCCAGAAGGGCACAGATGCCATTTGAGTTGTGGTGCATAATGGCAAACAGAAGTACCTGGCTGATAGGATCTTACCGCATGAAGCACCAATACCTCATGCAACTCATGAATTCTTTATAGTGGGCGAGCTAAAGACATTCCCAGGTGTCTTTCCTTGACTCCCCTTTGCACCAGCAGATGCCTGGCCAGCTGAACCCTTGTGGTGTGCGCCATCTGTTGCTACCATCGACTTCTTTATCTGACAGAAATATCAAAATAACCAAAGATAACAACATAATCATATCATTAAGAATTTTAACATCACCAAGAAAATCTTTTCCATTTTTTTTAATGGGAAAATTAATTTGCAAGTACCTATAGTTTACCTCAGTTTTCAAGCAGGTCCCTAGAGTTTAAAAGGTTCTATGCCCATCCTTATATTTTTCAATGGTTACATAGTCCTCAAAATTTCATATTCATGTATCCTAACCCTTGTGATACTAACATGTCTTAAAAGTGTAAGCAAATTTGATGACGTGAAGGGCTAAGTACACGCATGGCAGCCAAGTCATGTGAGTTAGCCACATAAGAAAATAAATAGGTAAGTTGGAGAGGGGGGAAAACAACCACATTTCTTCCAAGGCGTTTTGAATGAGAAAACACAAGGGAAGGGAAGTAACTTGTGCCCTCAGGTGAAGACAAGTTTGGCGATTTTGGTGCTTGGTAGCACAAGTTCAATACTCCATCATGCATCCTTCAATGGTTAATTGATCTGGTTCAATCCTGTATTTGATTGTATCATTGCAAAACTGAAGTGGCATTTTGTTTCAAATATCAGTTCAAGTCTGTACTGATTGTGTTATTTGGCTTAGGGGTGACATAAAACTGAATTGGTAGTTTAATTCAAATCTGGAACACAAGTTATAAATTCATCACAAAACAGTCACAAAATTGAGAGATAAACTTCCAAATTTCTGAAGCTTAACATTTGGGACCTAACTTGAATTAATTAATCCTTTTAGGACCCCTTTGTCATTCTCCCAAAATATAAGAGGTTCACAAACTTTTGAATAATAAGGACCTACTGGAAAATTGACATAAACTATAGGGATGTGTTAATTTCCATTTTTTTTAATTTTAGTCCCTAAAGGTTTTATTCAATTTTAATTTAATCCCTTTACTAAGGGATGGCTTGGAGGAAAAAGATCACATGCATTACAAGTAATCATGATGTGCCAGGCCATAGCAGATACTAGCCACACATGAATCCTATCAAGCATCAGGCATCAACGCATTGCAAGGGCACGAGCAAGGCAAGGCCCTAGTTATAATCTTTACACTGAGGGACTAATTTGAAACGTGGGCAAAAGTAAATGGAAAAAAAAAATGCAACTTTAAAACAATAATAAAGAAAGAAATATCAAAACAAAAACACAGTCATGAGCTAATTTACAAGCTAGTCACTAAAGCAAACAACAAACTTAAAGCACACGACAGCTACATGCAATTCTTTTTGTGTGCATTTTGTGAAAAACCTTACGAACACTATACTAGATACCATTTATCTTTCCAAAAAATAAGGAAGAGAAACTTAAACTTACAGCTACAAGACGCTCTTTGTGAATATCACTAGCAAGCTGAAAGCCGCCAGAAAGAGAGTCAAGATTATGAAGTTAACAGCATCTAAAAAACCAAAATGAACCAATGAAAACTTACATTACTAAACCTTAAATAGCCAACAATTTTACTTACCTGTCTTCTATAGCTTTTAATCTCATCGCCACCAAATCCAGGAAGTGACATATTCCAATTTTTCTCTACAAAGATCCACATGTACAATTAGCTTCAGGATCTGTGATCAAATGAGAATCAGACAGTAGAGAATTTTTCTAATTAACTAACCTAAATGTAGAAGAATGTCCTTTGCTTCCAACATGGTAGATTTACGATGCTTGGCAAGTGAGCAGCCAGATTTAGTGATCTGCTCAAGGTGAAGAAAATGGTAAGGATTGATGATAAAATAATATGAATTTCTAAAAGCTCTATGGATTTGGTTTTTTTTTTTTTTAAAGAAGGACAAGTAATTGGGAGATTGGTCGCCATTTGAACATATACATTAAGGCAGCAAAAGAATGAAAAATATGCTTTGTCCATATCCACCATGGGAAACTCAAAGGAGCCTCAGTATGAATAGAGCAAAACACTCTCTCTCTCTCTACATGGCAATACTTGTTTTAAAGTTGATGCAAACTGCTCTTGATTCAGTTGCATTAAGAGAAGGGGCACTTTATCATGCTTTGTGCTCAAGGCACCCCATAATTGTTAGGAGTTTCATTGAAGAAAACCTACTAGTTGAAATTATCATCACGAGGAAAAATGGCACCCCTAAGGCCTAAACAACCCAAATAGACAACTAAACAAAACATAATTGACAAAATATACAGCAGGAACAGAATGATTATTTCAATCTCTTAAATTGGCATTGTAATTTGGGGGGAGGGAAAGATATTTAATAAGTTTTGGCTAAATACAGGAATTTAAACTATCACATAACTAAATCCGAAGACTTACAGACTCTAAGAAATTTTCTGCTATATCCACCAGAACGTCTGCAACTTCAGGATCCAGCTTCTCTGATGGATCAACCTGCCAATAAAGCATCTAATTCATTAAAGGAATATATGAATCAGAAAGCATTTCAAGGAGCAAACCCTGTCACATCATACATGGAACCTCAAAACCCATGAACATAATTGCATTTGAAGATCTCAAGGGATCCCAAATTCATAAAAAATGGTGACTAGTTTAGTTCATGATGTCCAAGTGAATGTAAAGTCACATTTCCTGCAAAATTAATTATTTAATGGATCGTTAATCAAGCAAAGCTAGAAAAAACAATTCTTAATACCTTAATTCTAGTGTTAGCAAATACGTCTAGATGCTTACATAAAAAAAAAATACATTTAAAAAAAACTTATAGATGTTAGTGGGTCAAGGCCCAGCCCATATAGTACGAGTCAGTACGAACAGTATACACTGGGCTGAATTCAAGAGCCATACTTAGACAATATAGATGACATGTACGTAGATAAACACCAACGAGTTATACCTAGAAGTGTTCAATGAAACAAGATTCGGTTCTCTGGTGTTCCCTGGATTGTTGACATCTAGAGAAAAGGCTCAATAATTAAGTTTAAAGATTTAAAATTTACATGGAGAGTTCAAAATTGGTAAAAATAGAGTTCCAAAAGAGGTGAGTCATAAAATACTGCTCCAAATAAATTATATACGAATGTGCTGATTAATTAATGTAATTTTGATTATGGCAAGTCAATGAGGGATAGAAGTGACAAATGCAATGTATTTTTGTGAATTGTGAATTTTCTCCATAATGTTAGATTAAAGAATAGGCGAAAGTTTTAGACTTTCCCGGGTATAAAGTTGAACAATTCTAGAGATTCCACCCATCCCTGATACCTATAGGTAATCTGAAAAACCGCCTTTGAGAATCTAATTAACTCATGAACTTAAAGTTAATACCACCATTTGAGATAGGAATTCAGGTAACCTCAGACTGATAAACGAATTTTCTCCTCTACATCCTGACATCCTGTATTAGAAAAATTGTGCATGGCTAAGCACTCTACATGCTTTTAACTAGTGAGAATCAATAGAATACGCGTTTAAGTAATTTCAGATAGTTCACCAGGACAATCCTTGAGATATAATATAATTCCAAACTGAGATTAAAATATTAGCTACTAATCATGAAATAAATTGGCTTCATTATGTATTCCTCCTATTAAATAATGCTGTTTGATGAAGACATTTTAATATTTACCACGATTGTTTTTTTTTTCCAAAAAAGGTTGGCCCAGAAGTTATTTAACATGAATTTCATAGTGGAAGAATTAGAAGTCTAAATGCAACTCCAAGCTACCCACCAAAGCTAAGGGATAGGAGAGCGAGATGAATCTACAGGAGACTTTGTTTTGAATTTCAGCAACGAAATTTACAAAGGAACACGATAGATTAGTGTGACTTACCTGAGTGACTAGCTCATGAATGGTCCTTTTGCTGAGAATTCTATTACAAGATTCATCAGCATCTGCGTTAGATGTTCGACCCTGAATCCCTACTTGAACGGCACTAGGTTGTGCTGACACAAGAGAAGTAGCTTTTGGATTGCCAGGTCCTTGCACTTTTGTGTTCTGTTGCTGGTGAGGCATATGAAGCGCCCTCGATGATGGAACTTGCTGCCCCAAATGCTCCTGCAACTGATTTGATGGCAAAGGCTGCTGCTGTGATGCTGTTGGTGTTGAGTGCTGCTGGGGAGGTATATGTGACCTTTGCTGCAGGGATGGTGGGTGTTGCCTATAAGAAGCAGATGGTAGAGGAGGCTTCCCTGGTGATCCAGAAGACAACCACGGCTGATTAATTGACTGCATGCCTTGTGATGAACTTATAGATGGTGATGCAGGAGATCCCACTGATGAGGCTCTCATGAGTCCATGTCCTTGGAAACTCTAAAGAAATTATAGGACTAGATGAATCACCAACATAATTTTCGTCCTTCAAATGTTTGCAAAGCAGATGATAACAACTCAGCAAATCCATGCATAATTACATATTAAATAGAAAATGAACAGACGAAGTTGCTGTGCCAACACCAGCATAATTTAAGTGCACTCAGAGATAGTAAGCCTTTCACCATTTATTGGTAGACTTGCAAAACCCAAGGTCACACATGAACATTTAAATAAGACTTCACATTTTATTCAGCGTCTTTTACCCAAATTAACGCCTGATTAATATTCACCTTCAGGTATGTATCTCAATAAATGGAAGAATACAGCTCAATATTAGTTCTCTTTACCAAATTCCAGGAGGGGAACACGCACGTATAATCAACTTTCACCTTTGCAGGCAGTGTAGACAGGGAAAAACAAATTAAACGCATATACTAACTTGTGAACCAGTGGACTGATTACTTTGGGCAGATGGCGCTCTAAGAGATGATTGGACGGGTCGGTGTTGATGCGGAGGCATACCACCTGGTCGCATTTGAGAACTTGAACCGAGAGATCCTAGCATGCCCATTCCTTGCGTGGGCGCTCTCACCTAAACAGCGACATCAAATAAGAAATATTAAAGCAACGAATGTTCCGAGCTCTTCAGATATGGCTACCAGCGGATCAAAAGAAGAGAAGTCCTTTATCATAGTCAATGATAGTTCAACTTTTTTTTTTTGGTTCTTAAACAAGAAGGAATAAAGATATCACATCTCTTGTCTCGCAATAAAGAACGTATAAATCCCGGATACATACGACCTACCTGAGCAGCGGTAGAATTAGAGGTTGAGTCCGGCATATTGACTCCAGTTCGTCCCAACCCTCCAAAATGCTGCCCGAAAGAGGAAGAAAACGGAGGGGACGGGTTCTGGTGGTGGGTGGGAACGCCGATTGCCATGCCACCCCTTGGTGCGGAAGGCCCGGAGATTGACGGAGAGCCGGTAGACGAAAAGGAAGACCCGGAACCCACTGGAGCAGGAGAAGCAGGAGGGAGTGAAGAGAGAGGCGAAGAGAAGTGCGGATAATGCGGCTGCGGCTGCTGTTGTGGTTGCTGCGGCAAATTTCTGTTGAGTGCGGAGGGAGGGCGAGGTTGAGGGGGGACCGATGAAGAGGGAAGAGGAGAGGTGGAGAGGGCTTTGGAGGTTGCTGGATTGGGAATGGCATTAGGGTTTGGGGAAGAATGGAGGGGAGCAGAGAGGGAAGGGGCTGATGAGGACGAGGGAGGGAAGGAAGTAGAGGGAGGTTGAGAGGGGTGGGACTGGGAGGGCTCAGAAGGCTGGGAAGAAGCGGAGGCACTGGCGGCGGGAGCTTGCGGTTCCATACGGCTTCCGTTCTGATATGGAAATTGTGCGCTGTTCCTGTTCAATTTCCAAATGCATACTCCCTCCCGTCCAGCTGCAAGTGACGGTCCAAGTCTTCCAAGACAAAGGACAGGTGAAAAACTAGCATCATCGTTTTTTTCGACAAATATATATTGTTAATTATTAACTGCATGATATAAATGGATTAAATAAAAAATAAAAATAATTAAAATAAATTGATTTTTATAGATTTGTAATATTATAAATTGGAAGATAGTGATATTTTTTTACCGTATTAAAGACAATGATACAAATCACTCTTATCTATTTATTTAATTATTGTGATTTTGAAGTTTTTGAAAGTGCTCTGTATTTTGATATCGATACTTGTATACATATAATCTATAGGAATGACATTAAACAACTAAATAAATAAATTAACATTAAATAAAAACTGTAACATTTGAAAATTTAAAATAAGAATTTAACGTTCTTTAGTAAATTGATATAATTAAAAAATTGTTACCCTGAATTTATAATTTGTAATCCTAAAAAAATTATCAATGGGTTCGTTCATTTATGAAAAAAGGTAGGATGGACATTTTTCTTCTAGTTATTATTTTTAGAAAAATGCAAGCATCCCTGTGAAATGAGATGTGGGGTAGCATTTGAATTTTAAATTTGAATTTAAATTTAAAATTTAAAATTTTATATTTAAAATTATTTGTTTGTATACTATAAAAAAATTTAAAGATAGATGAGAGACAATCAAAAATTCAAAATAAAAATAGGGTTTTGAAAGTGACAAGCATATCTTTATATTTTTATTCTTTAATTAATGAGAGACAATAATAAAAAAGACAACCAGAATAAAAAAGTTATTGACAGTGAAAATGTAAAGAGAGAGAGATAACTAGAGTAAGTGAGATTTTAAATAGTTATAATTTTGAGGGCATGTGAGATTATGAAGAAATTATGATAAAATATAAATCTTTAAAAACTTTCATATGCATGAATTGCGCATTTGGTTCAAATTCAAATAAAAATGTTCATGTATATCAACCCACCTTTCGTTTGTTTTTGATACTGTAAACGCATCGACCCCAAAATTTAGAATCCCGTCACTTACAGGAAGTACGAGGCTGATCAATACTGGCATCTTCATTTTCGGTAGTCAAGAAACATCGAAGATGTCCCGATATTGGTCAAAGTGATCACATGTTCGCGTCAGTGTTGAGTTCTGGAAGAGGTTACAACTTACAAGATCTTGACACCTGCGCGTGGCCCACAAATTCAAGCCGTTGAAGAATCATGGCCCACACACATAAAACGAGGCAAGGATATTTTTTTTTAACATGGCTTCTGGCTTGATCATCAAATTCAATTGAAGATAGTTCGTCCATTATTCTCACAATGAACCTATTTGCTAACATGTAATGAGTGTATGGAGACCATTCTTCGCATGTCAGTAGGGAATTCTTAGCACTAGATTGAATGTGAAAGAGATAATAGAGGCGAGTGTAGACACATTAGCTGGCAATGATATTTTTCTACACCATGGAACGCTCGGATCGAATTGCCTTGTTCTTGAAGGTGCATGCAAGAGGAGATGCGAGAGCAATTACCAGTGGAGACTATCAACAACTCCTTGCATGTGGAATACTCACAACGAGAGTGTACCCCACCACATGCATCACTGTCCAGCCCCTCGGTCCAAATATCATGGACTCACTGTCTCAAATCACACCATTTATTATTTTATTTTCATTCCTCCAACAAACCATATGACAATTTAAATGCATCATCGCCATGTATAATGTAATCGTAGATTTCATAAATTATAAATAACATTCTATTTTGATATTCTAGTTGCTCGTCAAAGCAGAGATGCATGTATGTTTAAACACGTCACTCGTTGTTTCTTCGCACTTTTAGATGTGCATTGTTTCAATTACATACACCTCTAGGGTTTTTTTTTTTTTTTTGGGGAAAAAAAACTTGTGCGCACGCCTCATGCCTCAATCAACTTGCGCCAACGTGGTCGACATTTTTGGTCAACTTTGGCGACCCAATAAAAATAGAAGATGAAAGATTTCGTTGCCCCGTCATTTCTAGCGACTAGTTCGATGCAGAACAAGCAATGAGACATTATGACTCTTTGCTCGACTAGTCGGCTTCCTTCTCAGATATTTTTGTTTTTCGATTTTCTCGTTTTCCTTCGCTACTTAATTTCGTACATGCTAAACAGATTAGTGAAAATATATTCTGGTCATTTCAAAAGCATATTAAACAGATATTTTTATTCCATAATTCCTTTATGTCTCTATTGCTCTTTATTTTCTATATCCACACCTGCTGTTTCTTCCGGTTGTTGAAAATGTGCATCTTTCACCGTGTTTAATTTCCCGTACGTTCACGGTTCATCCCCCATAGCATTATATTTTATTTAAAAAATGTTAATGGTGCATGAATTTCCCGTGTCCTTTTATCGCATGGGATGACAGGCATTTTAAAATTAAAAGTTAAACAAATAAATGCGCACTTCGCAATCGCGGCCAGGCTGTCCTCCCCATCTCTTGCTACTAGGGCTGCACAAAAGACAGGACGGCACTGGACTTCACCCTAACCCGAAGTCCGGTCTCTTTCATGAAAAAGACTGGGTTAGGCAACCCATAGTTCAGTCTTGTCCAGTGATAACCCGAAGATTAACAGGACCGGACTTGGTCCATAGGACTGGGAGACTGGTCCTGTCAGTCCAGTACTCACTTAGCTTTTTTTCCCTCTTTTTATTCTATGAGAGACAATAATCCATTCCAACATAATAAACTCAATTAAGATAGTAAAAACACTTATAATAATAATAAATCCATAATAATTTCTAACAATAAGAAAAAAAATATTTTTGTTATAGTCTAAATTATTTAAATTTATAAACTTTAACAAAAACAGTACTCAACAAAATTCAACAACACTATATTACAATAACAATTTAGAAACAAACTTAATAAATCTTTATGCAATCATCTTCTTAGCATCAATTACACTTTAAACATTTGTCAAAAATAAATTAATTATAATTATAATAAAAAAATTAATAGGACTGGACTGGACCAAGTGGTCCGGATGCCTGGTCTCTTGTCCAGTCCAACCCGAAAAAATAGTCTGGTCTTTTTAGTCCTTTTGGTCCTGAAGGACCAGTGACTATACAGACCGAACAAGATTGAAACCATCTCAGATTGGACTGGACCAGACAGGACTGAAAGACTTTTGCACAGCCCTACTTGCTACCAATTTTCAATCGTTAATTGATCCACATATTTTATCCTCATTAGTTATTATTATTTATCCTTAATACTTACTACCTGCTGAAAATGATTATTGTTGATTTTTTCCCCGATTTCGCGTTTCTTCCTTTTTCTCTCTCATCTGGCGTCTGACCCTTCATAATCTTCCTCGTTAAGATTCAATATCTTCTCATTTCTTGGGGTTCTTATCTCCTCCCGCTCCTCCCTCCTCATCTTGCATCTCACCCCTCAACTACACTCTCTGCTCTGCCATCTCCCTATTCCTCCGTATCAATCAGGTACTATTTTCTTTCCTTTCTTCTCCAATTTTGTTTCTTTATCTGTTCCTCCTCCTTGTTTAATTAAGCATCTCTCGCCTATTTTAGACTCTTTTTGTTTGGTTTCCGCTGAATCGTCGATAGACCGCGAAACGTAAACCGTTTTCAATCTGTTTTCTTTCACCCTTTCTGCACAGAGATTGGTAACAACCTTCAATTGCTGTGAAAAGATTTTGTTTTCCAATTATTCCTTAATTTTCTACGAATCCAAACAGATTTTTTCAGTTTCCATCCTCACGTTTCCTTTTCCCCTAAAAATTTCGGCAGGTCAAAGCTTGGTGGATTCTGAATCGCAGAATTTCAAGCAAAACTCTTGTTTCTTTCTGATTGTAAGAAGATAAGCCCGCAATCTCATATCCGGACACGCGCGTGAAACAGTATGGCGGAAGAGCACCGATGCCAAACACCCGAAGGCCACCGGCTTTGCGCTAACAACTGTGGCTTTTTCGGAAGTCCGGCCACCATGAATCTCTGTTCCAAATGCTACAGAGATTTCTGTCTCAAGGAACAGCAGCAAGCCTCTACGAAAGCAACCATCGAAACCGCTCTCTCATCGTCATCCGCCCCTGCGCCTTCGCTGGCCACGGATGCCCTCCCTCCTGCGCAGGCATCGAAAGCGCCGGATGTTGCGGTGGACGCGTTGATCTCGGCGCCGGCAGCCGCCGTAGAAGTTGGCACGGTGGCACAACCAAACCGATGCGCGACGTGTCGCAAAAGGGTCGGGTTGACCGGGTTCAAGTGCAAGTGCGGGATCACGTTTTGTGGCGTCCACAGGTATGCAGAGAAGCACGGGTGTAGCTTCGATTTCAAGGTGGTGGGCCGAGAGGAAATAAGTCGAGCGAATCCTGTCGTCATCGCTGAGAAGCTGCACAAGATTTAATCTGAGCCGTTAGTTGCCGAGTTGGACCGCATGGTTCAAAGAAGAGATTTGAGAGAGGCCGTCCATCGTTTTAATCTGATACCCATTGTGCGACGCTTGATCACATGTACTAAAAATTTAGGAAATTTAAGATGAAATTGGCTTTTATCTTATCGTCTTGAATGAAAGATTGAATTGAATAAGTCATGTAATTTGGCTTTCCTATTTGTAAAAAGCTAAATAGAATCATCCTTTTGTGAAAGCTTTCCGAGAGCTACTTACCATTACAGGCCCACCCACTTTAATCTTATTTGTGGTTGAATTGAGAGGCATGTGGGCCTTAATCATTCGGGAGAAGCGTATCTGTTGATTTTACATTATAAATAAACGTGAAATGAAAGCCAGCGTCATGTTTGCTTGAAACCGTGCTCTTTTTAATTCCCCAAAATTGTTTTTTTATAGGAAAAAAAGCAAATAATCTTTTCAGATTTTTTAAGATTATAATATAATAGGAGTATTTTATTAGGATGCGTAGACAATATAAGTATATAATTATTACTTTTAAAATCATTTTTTGTCGAACATTCTTGAAATTAATTTGAGAAGTGTTGAATATGTCAATTTTGAGCATATTTAATTCTGAAT